CCAGGTCACTCTGGACCCTATCCCTGCCCTCCAGCATATCCATCTCTCCCCCTAGCTTAGTGTCGTATGCAAACTGAGAGTGCAATCCATCCCCTCATCCAGGTCATTAATAAAGATGTGGAACAAAACCGGTCCTAGAACCGATCCTTAGAGTTCTCCGCTAGAAACCAACCACCAATCTGACAGCAAGCCATTGATCACTACCCATTGGGCCTGACATTCTAGCCAGCTTTCTATCCCTCTTACAGTCCATTTATCCAAACCATACTCCCTTAACCTGATGGCAAGAATATTGTGGGAGACCATATCAAAAGCTTTGCTTATACTACAACTCTGAAATACAACACAGGGCACAAAAGCAAGCATTTTACCAATCACTCACCAGAGGAGCAACAGTAAGACTGGGTATTTCTACTGGGGCAACAAACAGCAGCCAGCGACTTTTCCCAAGTATGTTGCAGAGTGAGCATGGGCTATTGAGACTGAGATGACAGGATGGGCAGCAGGACTCCATGGCTCTAGGTATGGCTTTGCCACTGACTGGCTCTGTAACCTAGAGTAAGTAACTCCTCTCCCCGTTTGTGTGCCTCAGTTTCCCCTTCTGCTCTTTGTTTAGATAGTAAGCTCTTCATGGAAAGGACTCTCTTTTGCTGTGTCATTACAGCCACTAGCACTATGGGACCCTGGTCTCAGCCTTCTGGGAAACGCGGGATGCTCATGTAATTTTAAAGAGAAAGGGGAGCAGCTCAAAACTTCAACCACAACATCCTTCAGAGACAAAAGCATTTGTTACACTAATCGGTGCAGGAGATAGCGCCAAACAAATGAAAGTTATTAAAGGGAGGGAGATGGATGAAGGTTTGGGCCTCCATTAGCTTTGCCAGTGCCAAATTCATTTCCAGAAAAAGCCGTTATCAATTTCCAGGGAATGGTATGCCCTGTCACCGCACACGGGGTGTTAATGTTCTTTACGGCTCCGTTAAAGCCAGTGCAGCAACACCAATCTAAATAAGCGAGCTGGGAAGGCTTAATCAGCCTGTCACTGACCAGTTATTAACATTTTAGAACAAGGACATGAAAGGACAAAATTCTGAAAGGTCAATTTGTACTTCAGGAGAAGAGCCAAAGGATAAAGAGGAAAAACTATAAGGAAAGAAGCAATAAAAACAGAGCTGGCCCTGTGCCCTCTGTCCAGTACTTACGGTGGTGAGCAATAGAGGATGGCATTCTGTACCTATCTGATGGAGAACTGTGGAATGACTTGGGAATTGGAAATGGTTCCTGCACTAGCTCCCTGGCTGGTATTGGAAGTTGTTACCTATCTGAAGGATGTTGGGTGAAATGAGTTTGGCAGGTCTCAGTCTGCGCCCATATGTAGGTTATGAAAACCATCATCGTATCGGGGTTACCTTAGCACAGTTTCTTGGAGAGAGAAGGAGCTCTGTGGGAGTCCAGGCCTGTGGCAAGGTCAGAGGCTTGTAGCTGAGGCAACAAACCTCCTTTATGAGATGAGTCCTTGTGCTGAAGAACATGCAGTTTTGAAAAGGGACTCCTGAATTCTGGGAGCCTGTCGAGTCAGGGCCCCAAAATCTGGGATGTGCCCCATCAGTGGCTGATTTTGGAAAATGCTAGCTTGATAGTCTGAGGCCCTGTCTGTATTGGGTTCTTCTTCATCAGCCTAGCTATGCTGGGGCCACTGCCAATGTTCCTTCTATTTTTTTTCCATCCATGTGTGGAATAATATCTTTATATACACCAAAGCATGTGCAAATGTGAACCACCAGTAGAAACTCATGCTGCTGGTTGTAAGCACTCTGCTACTCAGCTGGGTGGCATTTGAATTTCTGAGTGGCCACACCAGTGCCCAGCTTACAAGGAAAACTGGCTATTTCCCAAGGCTTGTAGTTATGCAATTTGCTCCAGGGAGTTTTAACAGTCCAGTGTGTCTGATTTGGGGGTTGCACCAGCTACTCCGGGCAAATCACTCCAATACAGGTAAGCCATGGACGTTAGACCTGGCAAACAAAAGAGACTATGCCATGCATTACGCAGGGGATTGTGTTAATGTGGGTTAGCATTACCCCGATCCAAAGGAGAAAGGATGGGTCTGGTCCAGCTTTGGACAGGAATTGGACTCAATGACCCTCCTGAGGTCTCTTCCAGCCCTGGGATTCTGTGAGGCAAGGATGAGGGTTCTAGACTGTGACTTCAGAGGCTCCTGCCTCCATTCATTTCTTCCTCTGTGACCCTGAGCAGGTCTCCGTACCTCAGCTGCCCACCTGTACCGTGGGTATAACCGCGCTGCTCTACCTCACCAAAGTGTTGGGATTAGTACAGTCACGATGGGGAGGTGCTCAGATACTCTGGCAATGGAGGCCGTACAAATACGCACAGTTGAGAGGCCTGTGAAATTGTAATTTCTCTATTAACATAATGGTATCAAGGTTGTCAGCTGGTATAAACCAGAATAACTTAATAGACCTCAGTCAAGTTATGCTGATTCATACTCACAGTGGCTCTAGCCCAAATTCAAAACTTTTTTTTTTAATATCAGAAGAGTGTTAATCTTTTGTAATTTTTCTAACCAGTTCTATCTTCTGCCTCTCATGCACGAAAGCCCTCCCCTTGAGAAACATTAATCAATCAGTCCATGCAACAGCCTCGGGCAGTCCACCATTCCTCTCCTCGTTGTGACAGAGACTGGGAAAGTGAGGCACAGAGTGGTGCACATTAAAACTGGTAGAGCGGATCATTAGAGCATGATGTTCCATGGCTGATATTTGCGAGTATAAGCAGCAGTTCTTGTATCTATTAAATATAAACATGGAATAGCCCACGTTCTGACATAGAATACAAATCTTCATGATAAATGACATATTGGAATCCATACTGTGTAGTGAATACTGGTTTGTACCTTTATGGACAGAAAATGGTTTCTAACATTGCCATTTTTCAAATGATTTTTAAAATCAATAGTCACTGTAATTGCATGAAAGGGCAAACAACCATCTGAACACATGGAGGGTGGGCTAAAATGGAGAATAATGAGCTAGCTGTGAGGCATGACCACTACTGCCCTCTAGTGCTTGGAATCAAAACTGATCAACTGTGTGTCATATGCCCTGTACTGTATAGAGCGTGTCTCCTTTAGCTCACATGGCAGGAGCCTGAGCAGGAGAATCTAGCTTCTGGCCCTGTTGTTGTCATGACATGCTGAGTGGTTGTGGTATGAAATACAGTGACTACAGTTAAGTTCCAAGCGAATACAAAAGGCCAGATTGACTCTGGCTTCTGCTGGCATAAATCAGCATTGTCAGCCATAGGAAGAACAGTATGGGGTGGTTGTGGTTATGTATTCCCTAGAGCAGTGGGGGCTTTGGTTTGCTGAGCTCGTTTGAAACTGCAGGAAGCTCCATTTGTCTGCAGAACAAAGACCCTGTCCTCGCTGAGCAGCCTGGTGCTTCAGAGCTATCTTAGAGGTTATAGGAGGGGAGCTCAAATGACCATCCGCAGCTCCCCCCAGCTCCCTTGTCCACTGCAGCCAGTGCTGCCTGCTCTAAGAGCTGAGCCAGCCCCCTGGAATACTCTTCCAGGGGAACGTGTGGAAGCTCCCTCACACCCGGGATTGAAAGCTGACCTGGACAAGACATAAACCAGAGGAGCTTTAGGTTGGACATTAGGAAAAACTTTCTAACTGTCGGGGTGGTTAAACACTGGAATAAGTTGCTTAGGGAGGGTGTGGAATCTCCATCTGTGGAGATATTTAAGAGCAGGTTAGATAGACATCTATCAGGGATGGTCTAGACGGTGCTTGGTCCTGCCGTGAGGGCAGGGGACTGGACTTGATGACCTCTTGAGGTCCCTTCCAGTTCTAGTGTTCTATGATTCTATGGTCATCAAGTCCAGTCTCCTGCACTCATGGCAGGACTAAGCACCATATAGCAGCTGATCCCTGACAAATGTCCGTGTAACCTGCTCTTAAATATCTCCAGTGATGGAGATTCCACAAGCTCCCTAGGCAATTTATTCCAGAGCTTAACCACCCTGGCAGTTAGGAAGTTTTTCCTAATGTCCAACCTAAAGCTCCTCTGGTTTATGTCTTGTCCAGGTCAGCTTTCAATCCCGGGTGTGAGGGAGCTTCCACACGTTCCCCTGGAAGAGTATTCCAGGGGGCTGGCTCAGCTCTTAGAGCAGGCAGCACTGGCTGCAGTGGACAAGGGAGCTGGGGGGAGCTGCGGATGGTCATTTGAGCTCCCCTCCTATAACCTCTAAGATAGCTCTGAAGCACCAGGCTGCTCAGCGAGGACAGGGTCTTTGTTCTGCAGACAAATGGAGCTTCCTGCAGTTTCAAACGAGCTCAGCAAACCAAAGCCCCCACTGCTCTGCCGGGGCTGTAAAGATACATTGGGACTTTTCCTGTAGTTACAGGAGGGTTTTCTGTCAATGTCCTTGGCAAAAATCTGCTTGTCTTTAATCTGCTCTGCACCCCAGAGGTGGCTGCATTTCAGCAGTGCGTGATTAGTCTGTGAAGCCCTCTGGGATGAAAGCTGCTCTGTAAGATACTGTTATCCAGTTCAACCCCCGGATGATAGTACAGGATTATTCCCTACAATATAGGATTGCACTTTATCCGGTCCACTACTTAATAACACCAAGCAGGATGCTTCCACCGCGTCCTCTGTGGGGTTGTCAAGTGTCTCAGAAATGTGATCACTCTACTCAAATTAGACTCGTCTTTCCCTCCGTGTGGGGTTTCATGCTTCACTCTGTTAAAGAGCTGGTCAGAGGGGCAGTTGGCATAAACACAACACAGGAACCACACCGAGGATCACTGCTGTGCTGCAAGACCTCGGGCAAGTCAGGTCTCTGTTTTGTGGCTCAGTTTCCCCATTAGTAAAATGGCAGTCAAGCTACTGGTCCTCCTCTGAAGTCTATGAATGGAAAACGCTGTATTCAAGATGCATATTACCATTTTATTTCTGTTTTAATTCGCCTTGCAGGGGCAGCCCGTGTATATAGGCAACCTCGGCAGTCGCTTAGGGTGCTGCATTCAACGCGGCGCCCAATGATGTCATCATGCCGTTGCGGCCCGTGGAGGCGGCGGTGCCAATCGTGCATTCCGCCTAGGGCGCCAATTGCCAGCAGCTCTCCTCGAGTTGCTCCTGTCCGCTTGACTTACATTGTACCATGCCCGTTCTAGGAGACATGCCAGCATGCACCAGGCTGTGACATCACAGCTGCCGTGAGAGACGAGTAATAAACACAGAGAATTGTTTTCTTCTAACACTGTACCAGGAACTTTATTGAACATTTTTCAGTGTATCACCTAAGGATGCAGATCGGAACCTGGTGGGATTTCAAACTCTGAAATCAATGGTAGTTAAGGTGCCTAAATGTGGTTGAAAAGCTGGCCCTAGGCATCTCCCTTGACCTTTCCCTAGCCCTGTGTTCCTGCTTTGCTTCCTGGTTCAGTTGACAAAAAACAGCACATGTCCCCTCACAGCAGCTGCCACAAAATCCTGTCACGAGGACAAAATCCTCATTTTTTGAGGAATAAGGGCTCTTGTGCAAAAGGGTTTTTTTCCGACAAATGGCCCTGTCTACACAGGGCTTTTTATCGCACAAACCTCTTCCGCAAAAAGGCTTGGAAGAAGATATGCAAATGAGAGTGTGAGATATGCAAATGACCACTCTATTTGCATATCCTCTTCCGCAAAAAACCCACAGTGTAGAGTGGTGCCGTTTGAGACAATCTGGGGCTGTCGGCCTCCTTATAAACTGTTGTGTTGATCGTTCTCAGCAGTGCACTGGGATTCTTTAGGCAGTTGGATCCGTACAGTAGAACCTGCTTGCTCGTGCCACATGGTCGTCTGTCCTTCGCTCAGCATTGTAGGAAGAAGTCAGGGTTGCCTCTCCCCATTGGGCTTATCCACAGTATGGCTACGTCTACACTCGTGGCTTCTCGCGCGAGTAATATGCCATTACACCTATTACTTTTCAGGAAGAATGGCATTACACAAGAGGGTTTTTCTTGCGCAAGAAGGGGCAGTGTAGACACTTCTTCTTGCGCAAGAGCCTCTTCTGAAAAAAATGGCAGCTCATTAGATATGCAAATCAGGCTTGGCGATTTTCCATGCTTAGCCTCATTTACATATTACTCGCACAAGAATCTGCGAGTGTAGACATAGCCTATGGGTATGTCTACACTGCGGGACAAAGTCAAATTAAGATACGCCACTTGAGCTACGTTAATTGCATAGCTGAGGTTAAAGTAGCCAAACTCAGCTTTTGGCGCTGTCTACACTGCAAGTAGTTGAAGGAAGAACGTTCTCCCTTTGACTTCCCTTGCTCCTTGTGAAAGCAGGGTTACCGGCATCGACCGGAGTACCCCTCTCGCTTCGAATTAGCTGTCTTAACTAGACCTGCTCATTCGAACCCTGAAGATCGACAGCGGCAGCTTCGATCTTCTTCAGGAGTGTAGACGTACCCTTTGTGTGCCTGGGCCATGAAAAGAGCCATGTGATGGCTGGCTGGGAGCTTGCAGAAAAAGCAGCAGCAGCAGCAGCTCCTGACATCAGTTCTGTGCTTTCTCAGGAAGAGGAATAAAAGTGCATCCTGGAAGTCAGGAGGGCTAATTTTTCTATTGGAAATAGGAGGTTCTCTCTTGTTGGCTCAGACCTCACATCTGAAGCGGAGGGGAATCGTAAAGCAACATCTCAGCCTTCTCTTCATTCAAAGTTACCTCAGCAGGGAGGTGCTGCCTCTGGTGTTAAGGCAGGCCTGGTTACAATGACCAAAAAAGATTTCTTGTATTGAAGTTGCTGGACATGGATGGCCCTGGCAGTTCTTCTTATTTGTATTAGAGGCATGACCCAGAGAGCTTAGAATTGAAGCAAAGTGCAAGAGAGGGAACCCATGTACAGAGAGGTGTGGTGACTGAGTCAAAGTCGATTTGGTCCGCTTCACTAGCCACCAGCACACACTGCTGCCTGGCTGGCTTTGCTGCTCTAGCTCCTGGATTGACTCACCCAGCAGCCCTGAGTCACCAGACTGGGTCAGTCCTAAATTATGCCAGGGAGAGCAGGGTGGTGGGTTCAAGTCCAAGTCCTGGCCACTCTGGGAGAGATGGGATAAAGGATGCCATGAACTTCTCTCACTCTACCGAACGATTTCCTCCTCCCCCTTTTTTGCACAGATCTCCTGAGCAGCGTAAAACGCCACTTAAAACATGTGGTCAAGGCATGCCCTTACTTACAGAGGGTTCAAAACTCAGCATGTCCTCCAGCTGAGGTCCAAGATCTCACGGCTTCTCCACATTCCTGCCAGAGCCTAAAGGACCCGACCCCAGGTTTCCTGAGGTTAGCACCAATCCTCTGGCTGACTCCAGTGTGCTTTGAGTCAAGCCCTAGTAGAGAAAGAAGCAAATCCCATACAATAAATTGCCTAGGGAGGTTGTGGAACCTCCATCTCTGGAGATATTTAAGAACAGGTTAGCAGACATCTATCAGGGATGGTCTAGACCAGCGGCGCCCAAACTTTTCTGCATCACGCACCCCTTTTTGATTTTTTAGAAACCCTCAGGCCCCCTCCTCCTCAAAAAATAGCAGCAAAACTTGGGGTGGGACTGACGGGGGTATTTGTGGCTGGGCCACCTCATGCCCCCCCCCCGGAATTTTTTCACCCCCCCCAGGGGGCATGCCCCCCAGTTTGGGAACTCATGGTCTAGACGGTGCTTGGTCCTGCCGTGAGAGCAGGGGACTGGACTTGGTGACCTCTTGAGGTCCCTTCCAGTACTAATGTTCTATGATTCTACTATTACCTCTGCAGCACAGCCAGCCACACGCAGATGTCTGACCCGCACTGTGCTTCCCAGCCAGGCTCCACTATCCAGCGCAGACGTGGACACTGTTACGTGGCATGTCATAACTGACTCAGCACTTCCAACCAACCCTCCAAGACGTTCTGTGGCCTCCCAAGGAGCAATTAGAACCATGCCAGAATCTTCAGCCTCAGCTCCCCCTTCCCCCAGTCGCCCTGTATTAGAATCCCTCAGTGTCCACTTAGGGCCACGTGCCGTGGTTGGCACCTGTTGCATATTATTCATGTAACAGGATGAATCCACTTCCTGGGCCTCACCAGGGGTCTAACCACAGTGGGACTGACATGGTCTGGGGGCTTGGAAAGAGCCCAGTGAGTCGCTGAACCCTGAACTCCATGTACTACAGGGTGTGCCCCTCCCTGCTGGTCTGCCCCGCCTGCGGGTCACCCTGGCGATTAGTTCTGGACGTGGATGCCCCCTTCTATGTTTGCATGCCACCGCTGTGTCTCTCCCACTGCTCCACGGCCCCTCTCGCTCCAGGAACCGCAACATTCTGACAGCACGGCTTCAGTCCTCGTGTACCTGCTGGGTCTGGGCGCCGCAGGGGGGAAACACAAGAACCGAGCTGGCGGGTCCGTACCCAAGCAGAGTCCCCAGGCAGGGAGGACTAGTCCAGCTACGAGGCCGCAGCAGAAATTGTAGAATAGCTCCATGACCTTGGAGGAGAGAAATCCTTTGCCATCTAATTCTCACGTAAAGCCTGTCTTAACTATAGGACCAGCCCCCCCCCCGAAACACTGCTCCAGCCACGCATCCGCTAAAATCCTCTCCCTTGCCCATTGCTTTGACTCTCCTTGCCAGCTCCCGCAGCCTCATCGCATCCAGTGCCAGCCTCTTCCACTCCCCTTTCAAGCTCTCCCCGTCCCTGGCTGTTTACCATCACTTCTCATTACCTCGCCCACCCTCGCCCCAAACTCTCTGGCTCTGCCAGCCACGCTAGCCTCACCCACCTCTCCCAAAATTGTCTCTGCAGCCTCTTCCGCTTCGCCCTAGCTCCTGGAGTTGGGCAAAGGTGAGAGAGTCTATGCATCCAGCGGAGGAGGGATGGGTGGTTGCTGCGTAAAGTAGGTTTCTAGCCTTCCTGGTGTCAAGGAAAATCTTGAACACATGACATGAGTGCATCCGAAAGGATCAAAGAGGAGCAGAGAGATAAGAAGACCCCGAAATGGTTCATTTTCCAATTAACTCTCATGATTTCCAAGCCAATCTCATGATTTCTGGGAGTCTGGCTTGTGATTTCTGAACACATGAGAATGGCAACACTTTCAGCTCTTCTGGCCTGGGACTTCCTCTCCTTCCATGTTAGCGCTGCCTCTAGCAGAGCAGGCCCCGGCAACTACTGTTGCATCACAGCTATTCGCCCCTGCCTTGCAGCTTGCACAGCGCGTAGCAAACACTTCCATGCGGTTACTTATCTGGAGTTATTATTTGGGCTATTGTAGCACATAGGAGCTCTAGTCATGGACCAGGACCCTGGTGGGCCAGACATTGTACAAATAGACACTGTGCCTAGCACAGGGTGCACCCCTCACCGCTGGTCCTGAATCACCCTGGAACCAAGACAGCCTCCTCATGACTGAGTCCTCCAGCCCATCACTTGGTGTTCTTTGTAGGGGTGTGTCCTAGGCACTCTGCCCTTCACTGCCCCCATAGATGCTCCCTCAGAGGCTGGGAGGAGAAGCCAGGCCTGCCCTCTGCTCCAGATTCCAGTCCAGGCCCCTCAGCTCAGCAGCTCTGGGTTTTCTTCTGCCAGCCCTCACTGCTCTCTCCCTGGGCTGCTGCCTACCACACCTGGCTCCCCTGCAGCCTCGGGGTGCCCCGGCACCAAGAACCCTCTTCCCAGGGAGCGACAGCTGCCTCTAGGGTTGCCAGATGGTTTAACCAAAAATACCAGACCCGCCCAAATAAAAGCACTAGGAAAAAAACATTGAGCAAAAAAACAAAACAAAATAAAAAACTAGGAACATTTTGTTGAGAAAAAAAAAGCCAGGCCACTGAAAAATTCAGGGTGCTGGCCTCTCCCCTGCCACTCCTCCAGCCCCACTGTGTGTCTGTCAGGCACCAAGCCTGAAAAAGCAGAAAATACAGGACATTTCATATGTCCAGGATTTTCTCAATTTCTTTACCGGACAGAAGGTGCAAATACCGGGCCGTCCGGTTCACTATCGGACCCCTGGTAGCCCTAGCTGCCTGCCTTCCTGCAGCTTGATTGCCTATAAATCCAGGGCTGTATGCAGACCCCATTGGTTCCCGCACAGCTGACCCTGCTTCCCATTAGTTTCTTGCTCCCTGGCTCCTCCTGCACGGGAAGCCAGGGGTGTTCATTGGCCTCCTTGGCCACCTTAACCTCTATGAAGCCCTAG